TAGTTTTTTTGTTTGTTTGTTTTGTTTTTTGGCAAAAGAAAAAGAAAGTGCATTCTGTCATTGTGAAACTGCTCTCATGATCAGACCAAGCATCCTCCATGCTGAAAGAGGGGGGACAGAGCACCCACAATCTGAGGCCCTTGCTCTACAGTGTCCCCTGCTGTCAGGGCGCTGAGCCGAACAATGCTGAGTGTGGTCCAAAAGATACTGGCATGAAGGGTTATGTTGACATTTTACAAATAGGGATAATTATTAGGACCAACTTCCTTTCCTGAGGAGTCTTACCTGTAGGCACTCTTATTTTTATTTTGTTTTAATTAAAATTTTTATTTCTTTTATATTTAATAAATGATGCATGTGAAAGTAGATGTTATATTGTCTTAGCTGCTCATTCTAGTGAAATGAGTCACAGGCACATCGAAAAGCTCTTGACATTCACCGACTAAACTTCAGTACCGTCCGCTTGGCATCATCTGGGTCCAGCAACTTATGAATTAAAATTCAGGGCAAGCCAATGAATCATCATGTCTACATTTTATAACTTCAGGATAATTTAAGGTGATTCAAGCAAGATGAGAGGAAGAAATGCAGATTCGTTTTAGTTAAAAATTCTTTCAAGTAAAATGTTGTCACGTAGAGGTAGCATTTTTCTTTTTTGTTTCGACTTTTATTTTAGATACAGGAGGTACCTGTGCATGGCTGTTACGTAGGCCCAGGTAATGAACACAGCACCCAGGAGGTAGTTCTACAAGCTGCACCCCTCCATAGTGTCCACGGTGTTGACTGTTCCCATGTTATGTCCATGTGTGCTCATGTTTAGCCCCCACTTATAAGTGAGAACATGTGGTAGGAGGTTTTCTGTTCCTGCATTAATCCATTTAGGTTTATGGACTCCAGCTCCAACCATGTTACTGCAAGTGACGTCATTTTATTCTTTTTATGGCTGCATAGTATTACACAATGTATTTGTACCACATTTATCTAATCCACCATTGATGGGCACCTAGGTTGATTCTATGTCTCTGCCATTGTAAATAGCATGGCAATGAGCATGTGATCACACATGTCTTTCTGGTATAATGATCTACTTTTATCCGGGTATATACCCAGTAATGGGATTGCTGGGTCTAATGGTAGCTCTGTTTTAAATTCTTTGAGAAAACTCCAAGCTACCATCCAATGGCTGAAATAATTTGCATTTCCACCAAGAATGTATAAGTGTTCCCTTTTCTTTACAGCCTCTCCAGCATCTGTTGTTTTTTGGCTTTTTAGTAATAGTCATTCAGACTGGCGTGAGATGCCGTTTCACTGTGTTTTTGGTTTGCAGTTCTCTGGTGATTAGTGATGCTGAGCAATTTGTCACATGTTTGTTGGCCACTTGTATGTCTTCTTTTGAGAAGTGTCTGTTCATGTTCTTTGCCGATTTTTAAAGGATTATTTGTGGTTTGCCTGTTGATTTATTTCTTCCTTATAGATGTCAGATATTAAGCCTTTGTCAGCTGCACAGTTCGTGAATGTCTTACATTTACATCTTTAATCCATCTTAAGTTAATTTTTGTATATGGCAAAAGTTACAGGTCTAGTTTCATTCTTCTGCATGTGGCTCAGCAATTATCCCAGCACCATTTCCCCATCGCTTGCTCTCATTGGCCTTGTCAAAGATCAAATGGTTGTAGACATGTGGCTTTATTTCTGAGTTCTCAATTGTGTTCCATTGGTCTGTGTGCTGTTTTTACACCAGTACCAACCTATTTTGGTTACTGCAGCCTTTTAGTATACTTTGAAGTCAGAGCGTAACCTCTGCCTTTGTTCTTTTTGCTTAGGATTGCTTTGGCTATTTGGGGCTCTTTTTTGATTCCATAGCAATTTTAGAATCATTTTTTTTTCTAACTCTGAAGAATTACATTGGTAGTTTGATAGAAATAGAATTGAATCTGTAGATTGCTTTGGGCAATATGGCCTAAATTTTAACAATATTTATTCTGCCAATCCATGAACATGGGACATTTTCCCATTTATTTGTGTCGTCTCTGATTTCTTTCAACAGTGTTTTATAGTTCTCCTTGTGGAGATCGTTCACCTCCTTGGTGAGCTGTGTTCCTAGATATTTCATGTCATTTGTGGCTACTGTTAATAAGATTGCCTGCTTGATTGACTGTCAGCCTGGAGATTATTGGTGTATAGACACTAGGGTAGCATTTTCTCATTGAAACGATGCTGAACCCTCTGAGACAAACACATCCTTGATGGCACTAGAGACTCTTTGTGGACATTGGGCAGCCTCAGTCTCCACATCTGTGAAGTGGGCATGTGGTAGCATCTTACAGGGTGGTGGAGGCCCAGATGCAATCCTGTTGGAGGATGCTGTGAGCACAGTGTAGCAGGAGTCACTGTGAGAGGAGCTCGTGAGGAGAGGACTCTGTCTGGGCGTGAACGAGAGCTCCAGCCACACCTCTGTGCGCACACTCCTGTGCATGGCCCTCGCCAGCGCTGAGCCTGGGTCACCACTGACCTGTGTCGGCTGCAGTTGTTTGCTGCTGAGACTTGTATTATTCCTTTCTTTCTTTCTTTTTCTTTCTTTTCTTTTTTTTTTTTTTTTGAGTTGAAATTTCCTAATTCAAAACAAAAGTGTTGTTTTTTTTTTTTAAATTTTTGTGGGTAATGGTTTTTTATTCCTAAACTAATGGCTAGCCCTCACCAATAAAAATGAAAGCCCATTATAAATATTATTATTTCATTTGTCCTACAATTTTTCTACTATTTCTTAACAAAATTGTAAGTGATGTAGAATCACAAGCTTTGGATGATATCCAGAGTATCACAAACTGCAAACTGAAGGCTGCTCGGGGTGGCTCAGGGTGCGCCCTGCACGGGGCCCGTGGGGTGCCCTGACAGCCTCTGCTGTGTCCCTCTGGTTGACTACCTTGCAGCCCCACATGGTCTCTCTCAAAGGCCCTGGTATGGGCCTTGCTCCAAACAGCAGCCACTGCCCACCCCACCCTGCACTGCTGGGCTCCCCAGAGGAGGGAGGAGGGGCATTCCCAAAGGAGAGAGAAGGGAGGGGCACACTGACAGACACTCAGACACTCTTCTCAGGGATAGCTGTGCTCACCAGCCGTGGGACCACTCAGGGTGGCTTTGCTAATTCAGATTAGCAAAACACACTCATAACATCTACAGATGCTATTATATTTTATGGGTTTTGTGGGTGTGGATTTGAGCCTCTGGTTAATGCACAGGAATCTGAGTGTAAAACAGTAAAAGAGTCACTTGCTTGGGGAATCCTCTGTACCTTTTGGCAGAGGCTGAGAGGAAGATGGGGCAGCCAGCTCCCGCCCTGCTCACCGACCTCAGTGCTTCCTCTGCAGGAGCCTGTGCGTTACAGAATCACCAGTAACACACCTCTCCCCGATGTCCTGAGATCCTTCAGTCCAAACCCAAACCTTGCAATGATGACTGCTTCTTTTCCTTTATCCGAATCCAGGGCAGTTTCTTAGCACTGCTCATAATGTTAGCAATGTGAGGAAGCTTTTTGCTTCCCTTAGCTTTGCTCTCTTCTTCCCCTGTGGGAAGGAGTCCCTGGGGAAGTCCAGCTCCAGGTTCAGAGCTGCTGCCAATGGCATGGAAGACACCAAGGGAGCCGTGACCTCCTGCAAGGCCTCCCTTTCCTTGTGGCAACAGACAAAACCATAGTTTCCATCAGAATTAGGCAGCGTGGAGCTTTGCCGATTAGGGCCAGGACAGCCCGAAGCATCAGGAGAGCTCGGGCTAGAGCGTCTCTAGCCTCTTGCCAGGTTCTCCCAGGCACACTCATGCCAGTCCCAGGGAGGCAAGCAGGGATCTCTTGGAGAAGTAGGTGCTTCCTAGAGGGAGGGGCTCACTGGCAGGGATTTAGGACGTGGGAGAGACCAGGTCCACCTCTGGGTCCTTCACTCCGCTAGATTCCGATTGACATGTCTGGACCCTGCACAAGTGATGTTCTGTGACATTAACTGGTAGAGATAATAATTAGTAAAGAAGGACCCATCGGGTAAATCCCAGACCGAAACATTTTCTCATCCATGTGCTAAAGGAGATTTTTAACAGCTCTCACAAACAACCCTTGCCCTCAGAGCCGGTTTGGCTGTTAGTGAGTGTGGTGGCTCAGAAAGGATGACTGGGCAGCAAAAGTCGTGTCAGTGGGGGTGGGTACAGGGAACAGAGGGCTCGTGGCTGTGAAAGGGGCAGCTGCATGTGTGCCCGGCGTGTCTGCCTGCCACCAAGGGGCTACTCGGAGTTTATCCTGAGCTAATTCTCTATGTCCATTTCCTCTTTTCACTCCCATGGCCTGTCTGGTCTGCATGCCCAGCCAGAAACCCACTTCCAAAGCACGAGGTGCCCACAAGCCCAGCAGGTGGCCTCCTGGTCCCCTTGAATTCCTGTCACCTGCAGAGGACCCGGGGCCCCAGGTGGCTGTCGCTGCCCCTCTGGCTGAAAGGAACAGCCCAGCTCTTGACAGATGAGAGATGGTGGATCCAGGTCCGGTCACCAGAGGTGCTCATGAGCCCTCGAGTGTCCGGGAGGAGCCCCACTCACTCTTAGGGCCTAGACAGGGATTTGACAGGGCGGAATGCCCAGTCACTTCCCTACATCCTGTGGCTCCCGAAAGCTAGCCAGGCGTGTGCCTGTCTTTCGAGGGACCAGGTGCTGGGTGCCAGGGGCGCCTTTGCAACAGGCTGGTGAGTTCTCCTCCAGGGCCCACCCGATTCTCTGCGTATTGAAATGTACACAATGTAAAAAAAAAAAAAAAAAGAAAGAAGGAAAGAAAACAGAAGCGGAGGCGGAGGGTTTTGTTTTGTTTTTGTTTGCTGTTGTTTGTTTTCCTTACGCATAAGCCCCGGCACCCCGAGGCCGTCCCACGCGGCTGCGTGTGTCGGAGGCCGGGCGGGCAGGCCCTGCCGCGTGCGTGTGTCCGAGGCCCTGCGGCCGGGGCCTGAGTCATCCCGTCCCTGTCTCCCCAGCAAAGCGGTACTGCAAGGACCCCAGCCCCAGCAGCAGCAGCAGCAGCAGCTACGCGCCCAGCAGCAGCAGCAACCTGAGCTGCGGCGGGGGCAGCAGCGCCAGCAGCACCTGCAGCAAGAGCAGCTTCGACTACACGCACGACATGGAGGCGGCGCACATGGCGGCCACCGCCATCCTCAACCTGTCTACGCGCTGCCGCGAGATGCCGCAGAACCTGAGCACCAAGCCGCAGGACCTGTGCGCCACGCGGGTAGGCGCCGCGCGGGTGGGCGCCCCGGGCCGGCGGGCGGGAGGCCAAGGACCCGCCCAGACGCGCGCGCTTTCCCTGCAGCTTCGCGTGGCCACGGCTGCGACCCCCCAAACCGTTCTTCCCACGCCGAGCAGTCGCGGGGCTTCCCCTGCAGCCGCCTGGGCGGCCCGTGGTCCGGAGCGCATCCGTGTTCTGAATCGGGCCCGCGGCAGGTCTCGCGGGTGAGCGCGCGTCCACGGATCGTTCTCCCCAGGATCCGGAGTGGTTCCGTAAACGGAGGACACCGCGCGGTCTTCCCGCGGCCTCCGGTGACCCCACGGGGGCTGCACAGCCGAGGCCGGGGCTGCCATGGGCTTCGCCGCAGGACGCGGTGCCCGCGCTGGTGTCGGGTGGAACGCAGGGCCAGCGCCGCGGCCCACATTGCGCGTGGATTTCGGGGGCTGGGGGAGCAAAGGCAGAAACGTCGGACTCCCACGCCGGGGGTCCGCGTTCTCGGGCGGCCCGGAGTGCTCTGGAAGGTGCAGGAGAGGGTCAGCGGGCTCATGGCTCACGCTGGGCGGAAGAGCCGAGGACCCGAGGAGCGCGGGGCGGGAAGCCGCCATCCTGCCGTCTGCGGGGCGCCGGGCGCCGCCATGTGCGCCCCTCCCCATCGGCGAAGGGCTCTCGGCTGGGCCGCGCGCGGCACCGACCGTGCTTCCTAGGAATACTTGCCGTTTGCACGCGTGAGGAAAGGGCAGTCATCTCACGTTCTGCAAACGCTTTCCTTCCAGCGGTGTGTTTGATCTTAGGTATTGGAGACGCGTCAGGAGCGTTCGTTTTCATGGTAATCGAGGTTGCTAAAATGCAAGGTTAGCATGGAAGAGATTCTGTGGCAACCACACACAAAAAAAGAGAGAGAGACCCCTTCCAGGGTTTTTGGCACTTTCTTAAAATTAAACTAAAACTGAGAGAATAAATGCGACACTATGAAGCTTAAATTAGCATCAAAGCTTCAAATCAGAGTGCACTTTGACAAAGAGAATTCAGGCAGAATGATACTGTATAATTTATCAAGGTAACAGCTCCGGGGCTGGGGGTCTCATTCCAAGCATCTTCCTTCTGCTGTAGCATGGAGAGGAGGGAGTTGCCTGACCTCTGAGGAGGCGGCAGCTTTCACACCAGCTCTGAAATCAAATTTTTGCTCAAGAGAGTGTCTGTCACTCTTGGAGGAGAAACATGAGGGATTGTTGGGGGGTGTTTCGATTTTTTTTTTTTTTTTTAACTTTCTGTCCATGGGTCCCTTCTTCTGACTCTCCTCCTGAAAGACAAGTACTCCAGAATTCTTGATGTGTTTCAAAGCATCATTAAAAAAAAAAAAAAAAAAAAAAAAGGAAAGGAAAGCCTCACCCTGTGCCCCTTTGGTTGTTTTAAGCCAGTAGACGAACTTGTAGGTTTGCTGAAACTTAGAGTAGCAGGTCAGACAGTAATCACTGTAGTAAAGGTATTTTTAGCTGCAATTGCAAACTTCCTTTCTTAAAATGGAAAATTATCTTCATCATAAAAGTTTATATTTCAGCCTGGCAAGGTAGCTTGCACCTGTAATCTCAGCACTTTGGGAGGTTGAGGCAGGCAGATCACTTGAGGTCAGGAGTTTGAGACCAGCCTGGCCAACATATAGTGAAACGACATCTCTATTAAAAAAATATATACAAAAAATTAGCTGGGCATGGTGGTGCAAACCTGTAATCCCAGCTACTTGGGAGGCTGAAGCAGGAGAATTGCTTGAACCTGGGAGGTGGAGGTTGCCATGAGCCCAAATTGTGCCACTGTACTCCAGCCTGGGCAAAAGAGCAAGACTGTCTCTCAAAAAAAATATTGTATTACAAGGTAAATTTTAATTCCCTCTCTTTCCTTCCTTCATCCTTCTAATTCTTTTGTTATCCTCCTCCATAATTCTTGAACTATTTAGTATCAATAAAACTAAAAGAGAAGTTTTAAGCTGATATGTGTGTGTGTTTATACACACACACATTCATATACACACATGAATACACACAACATTTTTATCTCGGGTATTTGAACTGTAATAAATTAAAATTGAGTACTTTGAAATTTTCTTCTGAACAGACTCTAAGTTGGAGACATAACAAGACAAGAAGGAAGGAGGGACAGAGAAGATAAACAGTCGACAACTAGGGAAATGGAGGGAGGGAGGGATGCCTGCATTCGCCACCCATTTTGCAGCTAAGCATGGGATAACAGGAAGTACCAGCCATGCTTAGCTGCCTCCTTGGCCTGTTCACCTTGGGAGTTTAGGCAAAGGAAGCAGCAGTGAGGAAGTCTGTGTCTGAGCGCTGCCCTGCCTGACGGCGAGACTGCCGTCTGGGAGGATGGACTCGTGGCGTTACGGGACGCCAGGCCAAGCACGGTCACCGTGTCTTTTTGCCGACAGAACCCTGACATGGAGGTAGACGAGAACGGAACCCTGGACCTCAGCATGAACAAGCAGAGGCCGCGGGACAGCTGCTGCCCCATCTTGACCCCCCTGGAGCCCATGTCTCCCCAGCAGCAGGCCGTGATGAACAACCGGTGTTTCCAGCTGGGCGAGGGTGACTGCTGGGACTTGCCCGTAGACTACACCAAAATGAAGCCCCGGAGGATAGACGAGGAGGAGTCCAAAGACATCGCTGTATGTGCTTTTTCTTGAGTCTGCCTGTGCTGACTGCCAGACTTTAAAATGGGGCCTCAGCTGACAGAAAATGCCATTTGCACATACCTGATGAGACAATACCTTTTCTCTTTAAATATGACCTTTAGCTGAGGAGAGCTTAGGAGAGAGTTTTTGTTGACCCAGCAGAGATTGGTGACTACCATTGATTAGAGTGAAAACAAGCGATTGACTCTAGTGAATGATAGAGTTTATTTTCTAACAAGTGTTTTGTTACAAGTGATTAAGAAAACGTATAAATAGCATGTGAGTTCATTTTTCTGGGTGTCTTGTTGAAACAATACAAGATTTTCCTTGCAGGTAGAGAATTCTAATAGGAGTTTTAGACACTTAAATGGTTAACTAAATGCTATTAATTAACTAGCTCTTCAAAACTAAGGACAGTGTCCCTTCTCTAAGAAACCTACAGTATTCAAAAGAGTTTACTCTAGCCCTGGATAAACTATTTTAGTACCATCACCTAAATCTTTGTTGATGACAGTATTAGTAAAAGATCTATGTCGAGAACACATTTTTGAAGTTAGTTATGGTGTTCAAATTCAGGTTATTAAAATAGATATAATGCCCTTTAGGCTTTGAAAACAAATAAAGAAAAATGTTTTCTTTATGTGCTGACTTTAAAGTCTTCAATTCTGAGAAGTATGACTTCTTCTTTATTTCACTGAAAAGTGAAATTTATTTTTAGTGGAATAGAGAGATCACCATCAAAGCACTATTGTACAGAAACAAGGAAATGGAAAAACGGAAAAATTGCCAGAGAGGGCACCTGCTTAGGAGCCTGTTATCTGTAGTCTTCAAATTGATTTCAGCATCCAGGCATTGTGAAAAAGAACGAAATCAGTGACAAGCTAAATTTCTGAGTATCTTTTTCTCCAGCAGTATTGTCATTACTACCAAATAAGGGATGGTGGTTGAATCTCCAAATTTATGTTAATTAAAAGTAAGCCCTCATAAAATGACAGAGGTGTTTTCATCCTGGATTGTCAGGGAAGGCAGATCTTCCCATGTGTCTACAGACTTAGGAAACGTGTCTGCCCAGCATTGCCACCTGCAGAAACATCTACGTTACTGCAGTTTAATGCACAACCAAAAAGGAAATTTACCTTCCTCTAAATTGATCTCCATTACCTCGAATCTTAAAAGCACATGCTTGTCAAATACCGACCAGTGGTTGGGGAAAGCTCAGCTCTAAGGCGCTGTAGTTCCAGTGCTGAATTGTGCCAGGCAGGGTTGGGGAAAGCAGCCCCCTGACAGGTGTGTGCTAACACTTGATGAGGAAGAACAAGGGAAACGTAGGCTCTGGCCGCCGGACCCTGTGTGTGCCCATGTGGTGAGCACAGCCAGGTGAATACTGAATAAGGCCTGGACCACTGGCAGGTGACCCTCATTTTAGGAGTTTAGATCAGTGGATGAAAAGTTCAGTGTGCATTTTCAGAAGGGACATTATCAGGACAAAAATATGTAGGGAACTTAAAGGTACAGCAGGAAGAGGTGCAGAGGTAGAGGCCGCCCAGAGCCACGCGCGGCCTCCCTCAGTCTGTGTGCCGTGTGATCATCCGTGTGGCTCTGAAGCTGTGTTTTGCCCACAGCCAGAAGACTTGGACCCATTCCAGGAGGCTCTAGAAGAGAGACGGTATCCAGGGGAGGTGACCATCCCAAGTCCCAAACCCAAGTACCCTCAGTGCAAGGAGAGCAAAAAGGATTTAATAACGTAAGCATGCTGTGAGGTGAAATGACGAATCTTCTCAGTCTTCCCATTCTTTGGCTGATTTTTAAAAACCGGATCTGTATATGCCTTGCTGTTTGAGCATGCGACATTCGCAGCGATAAAGGTTTCCGACCGCCGGGTCGGTCGGGGGAGCAGCTCCCCGTGCCCGTGCCTGCTCCCGGTGGCTCTGCTGGACGGGGGCGTCGTGTTCATTTAACCCGTGCATTTTGCCGCTTTTCTTCAGGGTGCTTCAATCCCCTCGCAGACATTGCAGCTAAACTGGAAACAATGAAACTTTTTTTAAAGTTTTTTTTTTTTTTTTTTTTTTTAAACATACTTACGATTTTGGCTGTTTTTGTTTTTGTTTGGTGGCAGATGTCCAACTCCAGGGTGTGATGGGAGTGGTCATGTGACTGGTAATTACGCCTCACACAGAAGGTGTGACTTCATTTTTCTCATGGTGGATTCTGTCTTTTCAATTTATTGTTTTCAGCTTACCTCAACAATGCTGTCAAAGTAAAAATGTTGAATTCTGTGTCGACCCTCTAAGTGCTCTATGTTGACCTTCAGAAGCATGCTAATTTACGTGTTGTATAATGTCTTTTATTTTCAAATAAACGACCCAAATTTGTAAAATTCTTCTTAAGCATTGAAACCAAAGAACACAAATGTTTTATCTGATTTTTTAAACAATTGCTTATTAACAGAAATATTTTCTTAAATTTATATTCGAACTGATTCAGAATTAATTCTACAAGAAAAAATTCAATATACAGCACTTGCCCATTGCTTTTCTGCATTAAACTCTTTAATTTCGGTTTTTATGTTGTGTTTGTTCGGGGTTTCGCGCTGCGCGGTTGACTGACCTGCCTGTCCCGGCCTGTCTTACAGTCTGTCTGGCTGCCCCCTGGCGGACAAAAGCATTCGAAGTATGCTGGCCACCAGCTCCCAAGAACTCAAGTAAGATTTAATGACAATAATTCTCTTTTAAAAATCCATTCACTCAGTAGTCCACAAAAAACGATGTCTCGTTCGCAAAGAAAAGCGTCTGTTAAAAACATGACCTGTGCACCCCAGTCCCTTCATTTAGACACGTGATTGGGTCCTTGGAATTCCAGCCACTTTCCACACAACCCATTCTGCCTTTTCCCCTGACATACCTCCAGCTGTTCGTGTCATAGCCTTCCTATCTGGAATTTCCTAAAGCATGAGTATTTTCTCTTCAGATATGCATGCATATGGAAGGGAAATTTTACAGTTACTCAAATTTTTAGAAAATGACTGTAATTTAAATAATCAAAATTTAATGTTTAAAAGAAATTCATGAAAGTATTTAAAATATGGGCACTTAAATAGCACTCATGACCAAATCTAACATCATAATAGCTAATTTCTTAAATACGCTGTGGTCTTAGTCATGAATACTTTTCAGGACAGTGACAGCTCACGGCCGGGGGATCCGGAGAGTCACGGAATTCAACCAGACACACATCATTCTGGAGTTGCACCTCCCTCTCCTCTATGCCTGTCATTTTTAAACATAAATCTGGCAAAATGGTGAAACACCTACGTTTATACTGCCACACCGAGATCTTCTTCCTTCACATAGACATCTCTAGATGCAGGTCCAGACAGGTTCTGGAAGAAGCGGGTGGAAGTCACAGAGGGAGTCTCAAAGCCTCCGCACTCCAGAGAGGGTGTATGTGCAGGTGCACGCAGGGAAAGAGGGCGAGACCTGGGAGATCCCCACAGCGCGGTGAGGGCTGAGAGTCCCCAGATCATCACTTTAAATTATCTGACATGCCATATCATTATGTCAAATAGCTTGGTTTTCATTTTGTTTGGAAAAAGCGTTGTTATCCATGCGAAGAGAATGCTGCTTTCCAACCCATGTTTGATCTCTTTCCCAATCATCCCACCCCACCCCGGCCCCCCAGGCCCCTGAGGATAGACCAGGACTGTTGCAAAGTGTAGCCTTCGGTTTCACACCCGTGTCGTCTTTTACAGGGTCCCTGTCCAAGGCCCTAGGGCCATAGATCACCTGCTTATGTTCAGTGACTTCCTGAACTAGGCCTTTCGCCACAAGACCCTTGGAACTCTCTTCGTGGAATGTAATGCCTGGAGGGCTTTCTCTTACATAATGCCTTTAAAGTCTGTAGCCTCATCCAAAACAGTGCCTAACGGACAAAGTAGCTTTAGGATCTCAAAATGGACAGCATTAGCAAGAACAACTCAACCCGCTTTGTTCAGGCGTCTCTTGTCTGGCTTGAAACCACATTTCTCATGGTCAAAACATGACTAACTGCACTTGGAACTTGGCCAGTACATCAGAACATGGCAACATTACTTTGAATTCCTTGATGCGGGACACTTTGCAAGAGTTTGTCGCATCTCCAGTTCCAACAGGCCAGCTGTAGACAGGAAAACAGCCTCCGTAAAGGTTGCATCTAGCGTTGCCTCTAGCTGGTCAGAGGCTGCTGGGTTCAGTTTTCTTTGGCTCGCATCCCTTAACACTAGGCTTGGCAGTTTATGCTGATTCGAAACTCCAAGCTGACTTGCTGTTTCTCCAGCATCAGCACTTTCTTCTTCTCTTACCTCATCTTGCAAGATGGTCTGGTGCTCTTCACCTTTGTGATCTTCCAAGGGAGCCCGTCAGCTCTTTGTGCCTTCCAGGGCAGGGTGAGAATGGGCAGCCCCTCCTTCCTGCCCTGTCCTGGAGGGAAGACTGTATCTTCCAGGAGGTGGATGGCCTTTTCCTAATTTTGGTTGATAGAAAAGCCACACACATACACGTGTCTAAACTTGCCTTTGCAAAAAGTAAGTCCTATTCTGATGGAGCCTCTCTGGGAAATCTGAACTTGACTGCTTTTCTTAAATGGTCCATTTCTATTAATGGATCTTCAAAATGAAGAATTTCAATCAAACGTCTTTTATAAAAACACTACTATTTTAACGACCAAATTTTTCTTAATGGTGTATAACCATAGGTTATGATTGTTTTTTCTTTAACTTTTTAATTGGTGACACCCTCCATCCGTTACTTGCTGGATCTGGGTCAGGAAGATCTGTTGGGTGGTTTCTCAAGCCCAGGAGCATGGACTGGGCCCCTCGCGACTTGCAACAACTTTCTTTAGAATAATGCCCGCATGAGTCCTTTTTCATATTCTCTGTGTGTATTTTCAAGGGTTTGGTCAATTCCTCCTGCAGCAGCGTCGTCCCTCACTAAGAGCATGAAGTTAAGCCATTCAGTGCACCCTGCAACAATCTCTCGTTGTTTGCAAAGACATAACTGCCCCAAATATTCTTCTCTACAATATGCGTCAGCTAACAAGTGGAACTTTCTGGAAATTTTCCTCTTGTCACTTCCAACACTAAATTGTGATATTTGGCCTTTGACAGGACATTCTTGATCATGAACAAAACAAATTTTCCAGATAAACTTGTTCTTGGATCCCCTAAACTCTTAAACTTCCTGATATAATACTTTGGCTCTTACTCAGGGCAGCAAGCATGGGACATTCTTAAAAGCAGATCCGTAACTTCATGTCTAATTATGTATGATATGTAAACCGAAACTGGATTAAAATATAATGTGCACGTGAATCTTACTCCAACGCTGGGATGGTTGCTTTCTTGGCTCCTTAGCCCATCTGGTGTCAAAGACAGAGTTCAGTGGCTCAGAAGTCAGGGAGGAAGCCCCCAGGGTAAAAATGACACTTTGGGGAGGCAGACAGAGGGGGGATGGCCAGTTCCAAAAGCCTCTGTGCCTGGCAGATGTTTTTGTGTTGATGCTTTGAGGTAGAGTTCACCACCACCTTTGTGTCACTTCTGGGAGCCAGCCTCGCAGGCCCACCATGAGCCCTTCCTGGCTATGACATTCATTGAGACCCCAGGCCAGAAAGCAAAAACGAATACATTTGTGCAAATTAGAGTTTTGGGGGTGAGAATTCTGCCCACCATGAGCTCTGATTCTCAGGAAAAATTTCTCCTCATGACATTTCCTTTGCTGGGATTCCCTGAAAGAAACAGCAGGAAAGAGTTTGCAGAATCATTGTAGCTGGTCAGCCTTTTCTTTTTCTTTTGCATTTTCTTAAGGAACCCTAGTCTCCCAGCCGGCAATTACTTTTTCTACTTCCAGATGTGTGTTCAGTGTAGACAAGGGCGTGGTGTAGGTATAACCAATGTCAGCCAAATGCAAACTGATTTCAATCACAGGTAATGGGCTCTAAGAGGAGCCGACCGTGGCTTCCATGTATGCTTCGGTTGGCCAAATTAAGATTCCTCCGTAACTATCCATGCCTTTGTCTTGTAATACCACGAGTCCCGACGTTGGTGTAACTCCTTGTAGGAAAAGGAAGCTTGGGCCACTTGGTAGTCTCCTGATGTCTGAGCTGGGACTGAGCCATCGTGGGAGTGAGGGGATTGTGCTTCTGGTCCCTTGGCCTTTGAGATGGTCTCACACACTCTGTTGTCTCTGGGCTTGTATTCTAGGCATTTTCGGCTTGGGCATACAGGAACTTTAGCCACATCTAACACATATTTTAACCTGGTTACATGCATTTTAAAATAAATCATAAATCGAAGACTTAGCATGTTGAACGTAGGTCAAGATGTTGCTGTTTGCTAAGGCTACTTCTTTCTGGTCCGTCCTGGGGCTTTGGTTCTCTGCTGTAGATGCAGTGCAGGCTCAGGAGATTATTTACCAGGCTCTCCTGGAGAGAGATGTGAGCTTTGCTCACCCCTCAGCTTCCATTGTTAGGGTGCGGAGGGTCATCCGCTTTGACTGCTCACCAAGTTCTTAGAAATAATCCCCATTCCCGTAATCTTTTGCTTTCACAGTTTACAATAGTCAATCCACGGAACTTTGTGAATTACAAATGTCCTCGGCTGGGGGCTGGTTTCTTTAACAGGCAGCTGTATTTCCTTATCGGAAGAATGAGTTGACCTCTGTGTAAATTCAGCTCTTTTAGGACAGAAAGTTGTGTGATTCCAGCCTTCACATTGGGAGGGGAGCTCACGTGTGATCTCTCACTTCAAAGACTGCTCCCGAAGCACCCTCGTTTCTGTTATAAGAAATGGTACCATTCAGCGGCTGGCTCAGTTCGCCCGAGAGCACCTGGGCGCACATGCCCCGTGAACAGGAATGTCTCGGGGGAGAGGAGGCAGTGGCCTGGGGTTTCTCAGATGCGGGTTTCTCCCACGCACAGGATCACTGGGACTCTAGCAGGCATGCCCTGGCCACAGGGACTGAGCTTCTGCCCCAGAGCCTTCCCCAGATCTGTGGCAGCATCTGCTTGTGCTGAAATACTGCAGGCCTGTAGGGTGCCTGACGGCAGACAAAGTTCTTCTTTGCAGTCTGTCACTTTTGTGAGGAAAGGGAGAAAGGCGTGCTTAGACCCATTTTATGGATGCGAGAACTGAGGGACGGGTGGTCGGGCCGCTGAGTTGAGATGCACAGACAGTCCACTGCAATGACAAAGCCCAAGCCAGAAGCTTTCCCACGCTACACACTTGCTTCTCAAAATCATTAATAACATCTTAGGCTTGCTGCTTTGTGATTGAGAACTGAAGGTTGACATTTAGTTATGACTACAGCCATACATGTGCACACAAACATACACACAGAATTTATTTTTGTTTTCACACTTGTCCTGTGCAGTTTTCCTGTGACCCACATAGGAAGCTGGGCAGGGACCCGCCCTGCAGTGGCCAGCTCTGGTGCTGTGCCACGTCCCTGGTGGAAGCTGACCGTCCACTCCCCACAGTCAGCTAAAAGCATTTCGAACGTGCTCCCCCAGGGACCCGGGTCTGCCATTTATATTTTCACATCTGTAAATGGCTTATAAAGTTTGCACTATGGCATTTATAAAAAGTATCATATAAAATACAGCCTGTTGAAGATATATCCATATCTTTAGTACATATATATATATATTGAGATGGAGTTTTACTCTTGTTAC